ATATTGTTAAGAGTCTGACGAAAATACAAAATCCTATACAGTACACGTATTGAAGTTTCCGAAACTAGAAAGACAGTAACTTAAAATTAGATGTGGGCAAGGGAAGAAAAACAAATGTTTTGTAGGTACTTTAATTGACTAAACCTATGCCTTTATAAAACTATGAAAGGCACCGCTGGAAGAACCATATGGCTGTAATCAACTTTAACCGGTTGTCTGTTGGGTGAAGTAAACCTAGTTTGCTACTGAGTGCAATGAAACCGGTATAACAAAAAAGCAAAAAAAAACTTCCACATCTGAAGTCCTTCAGTTTACTTTTTTGTTCCGTTCCCTTTAACTTTTTTTACCCGAGTATTATCCTGTCACCTCAACCTACTGTTCCAAGAGTTCAGCAGAGCAAAGTACACGCCTGGAAAGAAGTACATTACAAACAAATAAACGGATGTGTGGCTGTTCTTATCGACATAAGGCATTCGGGTACGAAGCTATAGTTCTGTGGCAGCTCTTTCCTGCGAAGCATTGAAATGCGGTGAGTTAGCGGCGGTTCACAGCCCGGAGCGCGGTCGTTGAAGTTTTTATAGTTAACTTTTGCGGTCCAAGTTGGCAGTTAAAGTTAATCTAATTATTTTCTTCATTCTGCCCAGACGTAGTTGTCTAGTAAAAGTGAGGATATTTCTGGACCGTTTAGAGTTTCTGAACGTCTTTTATGTTTAGATTTGGCATTTTCGACCTACTTGTTGTTAAACGTTTATTTCTGGAGTCAGCTGCAGATTAAGTACTGTCTGTAATTTTATCATTTTTTTTGTTATACCGTCACGTAACTCATCGCCTTTGAATTGTTTTTCAGTGTTTTTGTTGATGTACAAAATCTTCTGTGACGGATTATTTAATTAATTAATTTACTTTTCATCAACCTAATTAATAGGTGTTTATCCTGAAGTGTAGTGTTTTTTTTTTTTTTGTTTTTATATTTTTAAAAGCATTTAGTTGCTAATTGTCTTTAGAAGACATGTTGATGGGACTGGAACTTTTGTTACTGGTGCAGTCTTATTTAGATGGCACGACTTTGACTACTTTACTCCATCGGCATTGTCTGGTAAGCTTCTGTGATAATTTTAAATCACATATCTCAGATGGTTGGGGCTGCCTTCAAATTTTACAGTGATTTGGTTGCTTAATTTTTTTCAGATTGTTCTTATCAATTTTTACTGCTGGACTTTCACTTATTTTCATTTTCTTCAAAATCCGTCTTTCATCATTTGTTAACGTATTACTTTTTACTTTTGCTTTAAAGACAACTTATTTAGGTGCGTACATTATATTATTCGTTTAAACTTGTGATCTTATATCGCTTTAAAAAGCACTGGAAGTTCAGTCTTAGGAAAAATATAAGTATAAACTTTGAAAAACACGAAACTGAGAGTAGTTTTTGCGCAAAATTAATAAACTGAATTTGTTCGTTTTCTGTGGAATGATCGAGCTGTTGGTGTCAGGTTTCCTGAATATTTCGTGGAATTTTCAGTGTTAATAAACTATTTTAAGTGCTTGTTCTTTCCTGTTGCTTAGGTGTGTAGGATGAAGTTTCACTAATTACAGGCAATGTTTCGGAGTTGAACGTTTTAATATTTTTATGTCGAATAGGTAGAGGTTTCTATAACGCATCTTGTTAGTATGAGCTTGCCTTTCAAGAGTTTTTCAGGGGTATGAAGTGGGTGCCTTTAATAATATGGAGGCGCAACCTAATGAAAGAACAGCTGGCAAGGGCTGTTTTTAAAGAAAAACTGTTTGCTACCCCTTATTATGCAAGAATTCCGCTTGAGGACCGTGAGACGGAAACAGTAGAAGGTTGGAGTATTATGAAGCCTCGTAGGTTCTTTAATTCTTACTTAAAGGTTGGTGTTTTTTTAAAGTTTCGATCATTTAAACCATTCGGTGTTTAGCTCTGTAATTTAGTGATTTGGTTTGAGAGAATTTCGGAAGCAGTTTTTAAGTTAGAAGAATAGTTCTAGCGTTCTGCATTTGAAAGGATATTGTTGCAGAAGCGTTCTTCCTATGATAAGTTTCAGTACTATGCTCTAGCCTTTTAGCTTATCTACAGTCACTTCCTGTATCTTGGAGAGCAACTCTTGATTTCTGTTCCACTGTTAGAAGACTAATGTTGAATTATGTATTTATAGCTGTCTAAATCAAATCTTACTGCTTTAATAAGCCTGACGGCTGCGGGTGGGTACTTAATGTCTCCTTCAATGGTTTCTTGGTCGATAATACCTTGTGTTGCTGGCACTGCTCTCCTTTCATCTTCTGCAAATTCAATCAATCAGTTTTTGGAATCTCCATACGATGCGCAAATGAAACGGACCGCATCAAGACTTCTAGTGACTCACAGGTTACAACTCACTGAACGAAATAGTTAAAGTTTATGTTAACATTTCAGTGAGAGATTTAGCTTGAATTAGGACCGTATTTATTTCAATCACCTTTAAGTACTGTTTGACAGCTAATTTTTTTTTTGTAGTCAGTTGTCTTTTTCATTTTGACAGCAAGTGTCTGTCTTTATTAAGCTTAAGTAGGACTCTTTGGCGTCTTTCTTCTTACCAGCTGAAATTTCACCATCAAAACTTCATTTTACGTCGCAGAGTTTGCTATTTATTGCACAAAAATCCTCGTTTCATCCTGTGCAACCTTTTTAAAGAATGCTCATTAGTGGTGCTGAATTAAAAATTATGTTCACATTTAAGAAAGAGTTTTTAAAGTTACATTACTTGGGTTTATATGAGAATCTGATATGGTTTTTAACCAACGTTTGTGCGCCTCTTTTTTTGCGTCATTCAAGATATTTCACTTTGGGTTGATGAACAGATTATTTCATCTTACTAAAAGTATACTTTAACAGATGTTTTTGGTGCTTAAATCAAGGCTCCAAGTGTTCTTTTTTTTTTTTTTATGGTTCGGTTTATTATAAGTGGCGTTTTAGGTTTACCCCTCTTCGTGCTTGCACCTTTGCATTGTTATCTGGAATTCTCGGTACATTAATTCTGTGGACTGGCTGCAATGCTAGTACAACGTTCCTTGGCTTGTTAAATCTTTTCTTATATGTCGGTACCGTCTTTCATAAAAATAATCACCATAAAGCCTTTAGGTGTTAATATTCATACCTATAAATGTTTTCTTGTTGCAGCAGGCAGATTGGTTTTGGCAGCAATGAATAGTTACTTTTTAGGAGTTTACACTCCTTTGAAACGGCACCACATTTTTTGCACATGGGCTGGAGCTGTGGTTGGGGCTATACCGCCGCTTATGGGTTATGCTGCTGCTGGTAACCTGGCTTTGCCAGGTTTTGTGATTGGTGCCTTAGTGTATTTCTGGCAGTTTCCACATTTTAATGGTTTAAGTTGGGCTTTACGGGGCGAATATACACGTGCGGGTTATAGAGTGATGTGTGTTCTCGACGAAAGGCTTTGTAAAGCTTCATCATTAAGGTATTTTTTAAAACCATTATCGACTTGAAGTGTCTATAATAGTCAATCTAACTCTCTGCCTGTGACTGCGTTTTATGAGTAGAAGTCTGTATTTGACGGCAAAAGCTAAAGCTGCAGCTTTCTCTTACGTGCGTCACTGAAGATTTTTCAGGAACACGATTGCTTTGATTCCCCTGTGTTCTCTTGCAGCCCCTTTAAGTGGGCTAACGTCGTGGACGTTTGCGCTAGATTCTCTACCTCTGAATTTATATTTTGCATATCTTGCATTACGATTTTATAGGAATGCCGATTCGAAATCGTCGCACTCCCTGTTTATGTACAGTCTTTTGTATTTGCCCTTAGTATTCGTGGTAATGTTTATGAGTAGGCTGGAAGTCAACAAACTTTCCGATCCATTCATTAGGCCTTAGCGCTATCGTACGCTGAAGGCAAATTAGACATCAGGGTTTAGATTAGTAGTGCTATATTGTCTAGGTTTATTTTAACTAGGCATGCTCTTTAGTTATTCAAAGCTCTTCCTTGAACTTCTTCTAACCTTAAATGAGCACGAGTAAATTTATCAGAGGGGGGTAAACGACAGTTCCAGTATTGCTGCAAATATGGTTGTTGCTCTGGGAATGTAGTAAATGTTTGGCTTCTAGTTTTTCGAGTGACTAGTGCTCTGAATTTCTTTTTTTTAAGTTTATTTCTGTGGAGAAGCGCAGAGGCTACTAGCTACATTGTCCTCAGGAGCTGCAGTAAGATGAAACTAAGAAAACAAAGATGTGAAATGCAATACGTGCTTTAATGCATTTCTGACTAAATTTGTGAAGTCCTATTGCTTTATTTTATTTCTAATAAACAAATGCTTCCTGTACATTATTGCAAAGTAACAATTACTTGGAAAAACTCCGCGATTTTTGAGCCTGTAACTTTCAGATAATACACCGCTGACATAATGACCGATTACATTTTTCCTAGTTCTAAAAGATAAGCTCCAAGGACTTTTGTCCCTTCGATGTAGTTAGATACGTTAATTTTCTCGTTTTGAGAATGAGCCATATCATCACCAGCACCGACTGGTAATAGCAACACATTGTTACCAGTCACCTCTTCAAAGGTCAATGTTATTGGAATGCTACCCCCTTCTCTGGTATAATCGGGTTCTACTCCATAAACTGAAAGCACATTAGTGAAAAGCTTTAAGGTCTACCTTTTCGAGAAAAAAGTGCCAAAAAGTATGTTTTCACATTATCTCCTTTAGCTTTAGAACTCCAGAGCAATATTTGTCTCAAATAGTTAAAAAAGAAGCAGACCTGTTTTCATCGCTCTCGCTCCGCATTGATAGTGTGGATGCTTGAAATCTGATAACCAGTAATTACCGGAGTGGCTAGAGTACGCTCTAAAGCATTTTCACAAGTGAGAAGCCTTATAAAAAATGTTTTTGAGAAAGTGAAAGAGAAACAATGGTATCATTTGTCTGACTTGAAGCGGTTTGGTGAGCCACGGCTCTTCCAAAGCTCATTCAGGTGTTCGATTACAAGTTTGTCGACCTTGTCAGGATGCATGTTGGGAACGATTCTAATACTGAATTTACCTATTACTTTGGCAGGGATTACAGTTTTTGCACCTGCACCACTGAATGCTCCTTCGATGCCTGAAAACTATTACCATTTACTTTGAGTATCAATGTTGAGAAAAATCAAGCTTAAAGGTCATGAAAGAAGCTGGGGATGGTGATGACGTTATTGACTTAGGCGCACCATGAAGCGATAGAGTTGGATTTCTCCACCTGCCCATCAAAAGATCCTCTTTTGTTTTCTTTGACAGTTTTACTGCACCGATGTCTTTGCGATATTCTTCCTAGAATAAAATCTGTCGTTGTTTCGGGTTTGAAATACAACTTTGTAACTGCAAGATGAATAACGACAAAGCGGCAGTTTGTCAATTGTCTTTTATTTTAACGTCTCTCTTAGGGTAACTGCTAACGTGTTGTTAAGATTTTTATTGTAAGTTTGTTTGAGGTCATTAGTTTGGTTTGTCAAGATGGAAACTGGTGCTGACTTTCGTTAAAAAAGTTTTAAAAAGATTTAGATGAAGCTTCTACAAAAACTTAGGCGTCATGCAGTTTGCGTGGGTTACGACCACTAATTGAAAACCGGAGTAAGGTCGAAAACGCGAGAAATAAGTTGAAAAAAATTTGTCACCATTCTCGGTCTAGTTTTTGTTCACTTTTTGGAGGCTTTGTTTTTGCTTACGGTAGCAGAAGTCAAATACGTCAGAGTTGGATTTTTTTCTTTTTTGAATTAAAAAATAGTTTTTACAAAATGCAGATAACCAGTTTTCTTCAAGAGCTTAAAAGTTGTTAGAAGTAAACCATATCGAAATCCGTCGCTTCATACAATTTCCTCTCCTCTTCAGTCACCGGAGCAACCATCTCGTTCAAACCCTTTATATTTATATGTCCGTCAAGATTTGTAAGCTGATTCATCATCCAAACTACGTCTGCCATTGGTTCATACCTGAAGTTGGAGAGACACAATTAACAAAAGTGCAGTCGAAGGAGGTAATTACCACTTAAAATTACAACTGATTCAGCGTCTAAAAAAGATCACTTCCAAGCTCACACTGTGCCTCCAAAGCATCCCGAATGCAGATCTTGTTTAGCAGCAGAAATTTCCATACAGTAGTAACAAACACCTCTGAAAAGTAAGAATGAGGTTAGGGTACATGGTACATATTGCCAACATTAGGGCAAACTCGCAGATTTTTTACTATATTTCAAAAGTTAACGAAGGCTTAAACTTTCCATTAAAACGAGGTTGACTGAGAAACAGCTGTTTAAGTTACCTCAGCCCATAAGTAATACATGGTTTTGTCTTCCCGAGCCAGTAGTTGTCAGAAATGCAAGTGAAATCGACTCCTTTCATGAAGGTGTCTTTTCGGGCACGCAGAGTTTCTTCAAGACCCTCTGAACCGCTTTCTTCCATGGCTTCGAAGCAAAACTTCAATAAAGCGTGGGGTGATTGAATGGTAATTGAGGGTTTATTAAGACTATTGGCCTCTACATGGTGAAAAAGCACCAATTACCTTTATATTTACAGGAACTTCAATGTTGTTTTTCTGCAAAGTTTCTATAGCGTTCACCCAACCAACAACTGGTCCTTTATCATCTGTAGACCCGCGTCCAAACAATTTTCCGTCCTTAAATTACCATTACTTATTATAACTTTCTGCAAAGACGAGTATTTCACAGTAATAGGTATGGAAAAACAAATGCATTCGAGTTCCTTCAGTAAATGCATAAATTTTCACGTATAAGGATAATTTGGCAGAAGCCTTAAAGGTGACCTTTTCGACTAATTCAAACGGTTCAGTATTCCAACCGTCTTCTTTAGCAGCAGGCTGAACATCCAAATGACCATAGACCAGAAGCGTTTTTTTCTTCTTGTCTTCTCCCAAGACTCCAAAAAGTATCGGAGGTAAATCAAGGGTCGTACCATCGTGAAGCGTTTGTTTTCCAGCAACATACAACTCGCATTTTGTGCCAAGCTTTTCTAGTTGCTATAATAAATTGTAACTCTTTACATTTGTCGATCAAAAGTAAACTTTTTGCAACATAAATAATTGAATTGAATTTCTCATAAGATGACAATTTACTGAGACTTCAAGATTTTTCACTATTATAACCTTTCTCATCCATTCAACCATGCGAACAACATCCTTCCTTCTCGCTGGCTCAGTGGAAACACTAGGAATTGCTACGGCCTCTCGAAGCCGCTCAATGAATTCCTTCTTTCGTGCATCAACGGCCCTGCAACATTAGGCACTGAAGTCGCAACTGATGGTGTAATAGCGACTAATGTTTTACTTTTCTTTCAGTTAGCATAAATCAGATGTGAATCGTCATTTGCTCTTTAACCCACTGTGTACAAAAGAACAGCTTCTCTTTCAATATTGGCAGTAAGAGATGGTCATCTTACTTTGCAAATTTGGGATAGTGTTCCATGCTAGATATACGGCACACAAATGATAGTGCAACTACCTGAAAAAGTATAGATTTTTTTCAAGATGCAAAATAGATACCTTCATCGAGTGCCATACCAATCTTCTGAACTACCAAACGTTATTCTGGTAAACTGCGTCAAAACAATCAGCATCCAAAACTTGCAAAAAATCTTTTTGAAGTATTATGAATGATCCTGATAAATTTTAATTAGCTCAACCATATATAAATTGACGGCCCATCAGTTGTAGCATAATCGAGGAATTATGGTTGCAGAGTTAGAAAACAAGTGCAAAAATAAAAACTGTTTCAAAGTTCCCTACTTCAGCAACAAGAAAAAACGTTTCTGCATTAATAAAGAAGAAAATAAATCTGGCTTATTTGTAGCGTACAATTATAAAATAAGTATAAGTTCTAAAAAGTTGTCAGACTAATAGGGACTATTCTCAGGTCTCCTTTAATGCACTTTCCAGTTATTGCATTCAGCTTAATTTCTAAGAATGGCAGCAAAATAGAAGAAAAAAATGTGACTGATTAGTTCAGTACTCATTAGACAATCAAACTTATCAATGTTCTAAACTACAACACAACCTTTTTTTTAAATGAACAAAACTTCCTAATTGCTAACGGTATGTCAATCAAAACTAACAACTAAAAATAGAATTCTGAGCCGATTAATAGGATGAACCTGGAATGCAAATTTTTTGCCAACCGTAATCAGTTGCCCCCACAATGATGTTATATGACTGATCAGCCCAAAAACTTGTGATTGAAGTTCTATCTTTAGACATCAGTAAAAACTTCACCGGTTAAATTTTTTCATCCATACAGTTCCAACTAAAAATAAATGTAATCAACTGAGACCTAACAGAGCTAAAGACACTTATCAGTAAAAGTGTACTGTAACAGCTATAATAAACTTTTGCTGAGTTGATCCTAAAATTTTTGGGCTGCACTGCAGATGTGAACAACCATCAAATGTTATCTAAAACTTCAACCTAACAACAGAGGAACTTTCAATCTGCAGTACTGACAAAGCTAAGATTTGGTATAATTAAAGAAAAAAATCCTTTAATGTACACTATCCTTTACTTGACATTAAACTCTACTTAAGCAGACAAAAAGAATCACGTTAACTAAGAAGTAAGAGCAAGAACAATAATAAGAAATAAGACACTTAATAATGATAAAAAAATTGAAAAGAATTGTTCTGAACAATTCTCATTCTCGCTAGACAAAATCAAGCTGTGATTGTAAACTACCTGAAATAACCAAATAAAAAATACGTGATTATTTTTCAGCAAATAAAGCCTGCTAAATCAGCAAACTAAATTCTCCATGTCAACAACAAACTTGGTTTCGCCCACCAATAAACTATTCCAAAAATAACTAAGAGCATCAGTGGTTCATACTTTTAATTTAATAAAACAAACAGTTAGTAAAGTCGTATCTCAGAAAGTAAGATTTGAACGAATTGTTCAATATTACACGACAGTCATCACAATTGCTCACAAGAGTTTTATGTGGCGAACCAGTTGTACAGTCATGAAAGCTTCCAAAAAAAAACTCAATATAAACTATTTTCAGCAGTAAACCGTTACTGCAGACTATTAAACCACAAACCAAATAATAAACTGTCAAAATGAAGAACTTCCAGAAGATTTATAACATAGAGTTGAACGCTACAGTGCAAAGGTTTTTTGTTTGACGAAAGCTGATGACTGTTAGAGAAGTGATAATGCTGCCACTAATATCAGTTATTTATTTAGCGAGTAGAAGCAAAAATAAACAGCAGCTTACTCAGAAAATAACCTGACAGATGGCGCATAAAGTGCATTATTCTCATGAAACACATAATTTTTCAATGTTGCTTCTGCATAATTTCACCGTCTTCAATGAGCCCTGCAAACAAATTCCTCTATCATTGCTACTGATCATACATCACAAAGTACATGTTAGAAAAATCTCTGTCCACAAAACTCCCATTACAGAAAACCCCAAAGATGATTTGTCAGTGTGTTATTGCTACACTACTGCTGTCCAACCCATATATTACGACAGTCTTATCATAAATCCATTTATTACGTAGATCATCAAAACTGGTTCCTTCCACATCAAACTGCCAATACCTTCTTCAAGTCCCTCAGGCATGGGCGAAAGTACATAACACGCCAAGTCCCGACGATGACCTAATTACTGACTCCACCAGAACTAAAAGATAAATGTAGTGACAAAACAAATAACAACCCACTTCCACCTCCCCCCATTAAGGTAACGCAAACCACAAAACATTTGAGGCCCATAGCGCTACTACCGTTCAAATTCCATGACCGCCCTAAACGTTCCCAAAAAGAAATATGCTGAATTTGAAGACCTATGAAACTGTCCCATCGAGCGCATCGCAGAAAATGGTTTCACAGTCCAAATATCAACTTCTCCATTTAAAACAAATTAACAAATAAAACATCGATGTGACTTAACTACATATTACGATTACAACTTTAACCGGCGTCATCGTCGTTATAATTTCCAATAAAGAAACACTGCAACAGCATCCTTTACTTAAAACAACAAAAACATCAAATCGCAGAATTCTAGAACAATAAAGAGAAGAATTGATGCAAATAATGATGAGTAATTCAGCGAGAATTAAGTAAAAAAGTTTGTGACTTATTACAAACAAAAACCCGGCGACTACATCTAGCAAAAACAGTAGCCTAGACCATCCCTATCGAGCCCAGACAGCAGGACTAGAATATATATGAAAAAAAGAAGTCAAAGCGTCACAACTATCATTTACAAACACGAATTTTCTTTTTTTGCACAAACCTTGTATTCTGCCAAAATGAACGCAATAATGTCATCCTCTACACTGGCTCTAGTGCAAGAGAAAAACTTTGAAATTAGAGGAAAACGAATCCGAAAAAAGATAGCGACATTTCTCAGCAACACGACTAAAGAAGAACTACGCAGCACGACAGACATAAAGAGAGAATATCTTCGCTGCCAAATAAACGCTACAATTAAGGTTAATACAGCAGCGAAACATACCTTTTTCGGGCAAAATTACAAAAAAAAAATGTTTAAGCCCAAAACACGGAGCGATTCAGGCTCAGCGAATGTAGACAAGTCATGAAACAAAACAGCTTTCACACTTACACAACATCACCAAAACCTTACGAAACTTAAGCGCGATAAAGACGACATTAACCCGTTAATAACACAACGCCGTATTTTTGTACTCTTCAAGAGATTTTAACTGAACGCGGGGGCGAAGATCGAAGTAAGACCAAAGGTATGAGAAGAGGAACCCTACTGTCCACAGCATCCATCTATTTTTACGTGACTTCCGTCTGAAATAAGACTATAAATTCATTAAAAAGTGTATGGTATTCGTCTTCCGCTTATAAGACATAACTAACTGCGAAACCTTCAATCGTTGGTTTAACATACCTCGCTACAGCTTTTGCTATAAGCCACCATAATCCACCACTTAACAAAATTGAGAACATCTTCAACCTAAAAGACAGTTCAAAACCATTAATAGTATACTGCTGAACACGATATAGTGTCAAAGCAAAGAAAAATTGAAAATTATCTTGCCACACACCAAAAAAGGTTTTTACGAGCTTTTTGAAGATCTTCTAACTTCTCCTTCAACAGGTATAACTTGACTCCCATCATATAATCAAATAGATACGCGTCCCAGTTTAACTGTCGCACATCAAAATTAAAAACCTATAATACAGCTTAAATTGACACACTTCAAAATGCTAAATAAAATAGCAAAGAAAATGTTTCACGTAGAGACTTTATACATTAACAGAGCTGTCTACCCTTCTGACTGGCTAAATAACTCATGCAGCCCTAAGGATTTAACTTTGTTGTAAGAGACAATGAAAAATAAAGTGAGTGAACCTTCTGATCCTCTTCTGAGATAGATTCCCATAAATTCAATAAACCTTTTGACTCAAAAGACCATCCCCGAGTAGTAAAGTAATGGAGGGTCTCCACAAGACGCCATACTTTTTCATATGTTTTCACATACCTCAAAAAAAAAACGATAAGTTGTCACACCGTTACTTTTTAAAGTGCTGAACTATTTCCAGAACCAAGGATAACACTAGTTACTAAAAAAACTTGAGAACGCTTAGCAAAAACTTTGAATAAAAATTGTTCGTACGAATAACCTACGATTCAGGAAAGACGAAAGGTTTTTACAGAAGTATTTGATCAGTAATTGAAACTTACAGTGCTCTTTTCCCAAGAACGCGATAAATGAAGTCCAGTAAGTAAGCAGGCCCCCAATGTTTAACATAAAAATTTGTTTCGAAGAGAAATCTGGAGGAATGGAAGTGCGTTGATGGAACACCTAGACACTGGTTAAGCGGAAACGTTCGATAAAATCGTTGCAAGTAATTGACAATACGAGCCCACTTAATTGGATTGAGTGCTCCAGAACAACAATGTATTATTGGAACTTTCTCATACCTGAACTACTGGGAAGTATAAAATAAATTATTTTTCAAAAAAGATGAGGTTTTAGCACTGATTTTAAAACAAACACGGTGTTGGCTCGATGTGCGGCAGCGACAATGAGTGTATTAGAGACGATGTCAACTGGAATAATGTCAGCTTTAGAGGAATTATTGCCACACATGTTGGTTAGCACACCTTTACCACACTAAACAGAATCAGATGCTCAGCACTAACAAAAAAAAAAATTATAAAATTAAAATCTCCAGAATATCGCCAATTACCGCTGCAAAGATCCCAGATGGCCCATTGAAGTTGTCAGTCCAACCCGGCAGAGGTTCTTTCCACATCGCCCCAATAATAGATGGTCTTATGATAATAAGCGGCAGCTGTTTCGCATCTTCAAGCAGTTGTACCTAAACAATTTAGATCGGCTTGACCAATGAACGATAGACATAACGTCTCTACAGCTGTCTCAAAAACAGCGAAAAAATGTTCAAAGTTTACTTAACACAAGGTCCTATAACAACACTAGCCTCAGCCAAAGCTTTAGTGAATGTATAGGTGTTCGGCCGCTTCCCCAATAAATGAGGTGTTACAGAATTTATCATATCGTCATCCATCCAACGAATAGTTTCAAACAATTTGTTTATTGGAACAGGTGCCGGATAAACCATCTCTTCTGTTTCCGATTTATCGCAGTTTGCATAGGCAGTGCTGGTGTGTACTATTGCCTAAATAACAATATTTGACTTTTTTTCTGTAACACTCAAGTCGATAAAACCAAGAAGCAACCATTCCAGCGTGTTTTACTGGCTGCAGTTCCCTCAATCGATATATTCTATAAATCGGAGATGAAATAAAGCAAATCAAACTAGAAATCTCATTTACATCCAAAACATTCAGAACTAATATAAAACAATTGCGAAAGAGCGAGAAAACCACATTACATGCATGACTAGATCTTCTGAAACCTACAACAAGATTCCTCATTTTGTGACATAAAGCAATTAAACGCTGTGTTCCCATAACATTCATCTCAACCGATATGCGTAATGCCTCATCAAATTTTACGGTAGCGGCACAATGAAAAACTGAAAAAGATTCATGGTAAAAATCGTAGTGCCAATTCAGAAACCAATTGCCACTTTAACAATGTAAAATTAATCAAAGTTACTATTCAACTATGAACTGTTCAAACCCCTTCTTGAATCTTCAATTAAAGTAAAGTAATTTAACTACCTAGTAAACCAACCATTAGTCCCCTGTTCCAGAAACTTTCAAGAAATATTTACTAAAACAGTTACGGCGAATAACTCGGGCAGCATACTAACCAATGCCAACTTCATCACAGATCCTGTTCATATCTAACTGATTAAGACCAAGCCCTTCCTCCATTAAGTCTCCACAAACTGGTATAAGTTTAGATAATGCTGCTGGATTCTCAGCACGCAAACGATCGAAAAGAGGCCCCTACAAAAAAATGAGGTAAAATTTTAAAAAAAAATTATCTTAAAAATAAAAGAAGTTAAGAGTTGGAGCACACTGGCCAAATCAGGCAAGAAAAAAAAACGACAAAATGAAGTAGTAAAGTTTAAAATAACTCTAGATAAAAAAGCTACAAAATTGCAAAAGCTAAGTTGGCTGATAATCTAAATACACAAGACACTACTAAAAAAAGAACGCCACTAGAGAAAGAGTAGCCAATACCTCGATTATTTTTTGCAGTCTTTGTTTTGGTCCTAAGTCACGCTTAGGACGGATAAGAAGATATATATTTTTAACGCCGGGAACCGAATATAGCAGCTTTTCGACTAAAACTTTGCCTAAAAATCCACTTCCACCAGTGACCAAAATACTCTGATCGGCAAACGTATCCGCCACCCGCCTACCGACCTCCATCATAAACCTGAAGACCTTTATATACAAATAATTTAGCAATATATAGCAAAATACAACAGACTACTGAGGTAAATAACAACAGGAAAAAACGGTCCGTATGTTGCTTGTGAAAAGCAGAAGTCCCTTTTCTGAAAAAAAACGCTCTAGAAAATTGAGGAACATCTTCTAAACGAAAGGCAAGTTTTTCATAAAAGTAAAGAACATGCCTCATAAGCAGCATTCAAATAAAATTCACTTCTACCATTAAATATCGATAACCGACTTCCACAGCTCTTGAAAAAAAAGCTAAGATCCAAATACAAAATTAAGAAGCTTAAGTTTCTAGCAGAAACAGCAGTTAGCGTTCTCCATGTATTGCTGGTGAAAATTTGCAGAAGAAAAAAAAAATGCAGACAATATGAAACACCAATTCTGTTCAACGGCGTTCGTTTGTAACATTTCTGCAGCTAAGCTATAAATCAGTACATACAAAACAAGTACAAATTATTGGTTATACTTAAGGAAACTATGCTCCAACACTGTTGTTTTTTTCAGCAGACAAATAAACCAATGATAAAGAACAATAATAACAACAACAAAAAAAAAAAAACACTGGAAGAAATTCAATAATGTACGAAAGAAAAAAAGTACAGGACCATTTACGGGATATCACAATCAGCCATCATCAGTTGCAAGTGCCTCTAACTAGAAAACATTGTAAAAGTTGCATAAAACAAAACAAAAAAAATTAGTGCATCAGAAGATTTTGAAGCAAACAAGTGCGAAAGAAAAGAAACAGAAGCAAACGAATGTCTACGATAAATTACCCCCTTCAACTGACAACATGGCAAACCGCTGTAAATACTTTTGGATCAACTTCCGCTTCCGGTGAAACGAAAAAAAAAACGATGCTTTATCTTTGAGTTTCAGTTATAACTTTTTTTCCCCTTTCGTATGCAGTTGGGGAGTAGAAAGCCGAACAAAGGCAAAACAACTTAATTTCACTTAACCACAATACAGCTATGGTGTTCATGAGTAAAAAAAAAAAATAATGACACTAAAAGCAAATGAAACCCTTTGCTTTTTGTGCACTTATAATAACAAATAAAGACTTCTTCCTCCTGTCCCCCGCATTTTCCGTTTCCCCTCTCAATACGGCAAAGTTGTCCCCCACCAATAATAGGAACAAAAAG